CAATAAGTATACTTGCCGCCACATGCTAGGATAACACGTGTTTCCAGACCTTTTCTTGGTGGCTGCGGGAGATCATCTTCACTTGCAAAAGTAGCCATCTTTGTAGTAGAATCCATGACCAGCTTCACACAAGCCAAATTCTCACGCACTAGTTCGTTTGTCACGACATCCTCCAAACAGTCACGCGACAAAAAACTCAGTCTAACATAAGGAAACAATTCCTCGAATGCTGCTTTTCGCTCGCTCTTATTGTGTTCAACCCATTTAAGTATGATCTTGAAGACGCTGGCTTCCGCTTCCACAGCAATCTCGTCACTTGTAATCCACCGCGCCACCTCCTTAGCCTCTAAGCTCAGAAATTCCTCCATTTCTCCTACGAAAGCGAAATTTTCGTAGATGAATTTCCTGCTGTTGCCAATAAGCTCGACACAGTCGTATTTCTCAGCGAAATAAAAGGTCGAGATGCAATTTGTATTTGACATTTCTCCTTGTAGAAATCGACCAGAAACAATCTTCAAGCTCGGTATGATCAGATAATTCCCTGCTGCAATCAGTTCCTTGGCATTCTCTGGGGTTACTTCCACAGTTCCAGTGTAAATGAATTCCAAAACATCTTCCAGAACAGATCCTGAGACCTCCTCAAATCGAATAATCCCTTCTTGATTCTCCTTCATGTCGCTCTGAAGAAGGTTGCAAAAGAACGGACTTGCGGCGGAAAGAACATTTCTGTGAGCTTTTAACTCTTTGTCGTCGTTCGTCACCAAAGTAACGTCGCACAAATTGTCTTGTTTTCGCTGAATGTTGAGGCGCTTCATCAATTCCACACAGAAAGAAGTTTGCTCAGCCGCTGACATTGGCTGTGAGTCTTCCATCTTTTACCAAATACTATTGTTATTGAGGAGAGATTCCTCCTAATATATCTTGGTGATGTAGAATACACAGGAAAGATAGCGAAAGCGGAAGTTCTCTAACTCATTCCCAAGCTCCCTCCTTCGGACTGCAAATTCTCCGAGAGACTCTTGGGAGATGTACGAGAACCAACTTGTTCCAGTGTGCTGATAATTTTTCGGATCAAAATTTTCCATCATATCTTCTTCAGGACTTCTAAACATTCCTCACAACATTGCTGTTAACCTTACTTTATTTTTGCCCATTGATTCAAATTCAAAAAAATTATGACCAAAGTTAACCCCATTTGAAGTTAACAAAGGAAATCTTTACTTCACTAGAGGCAAATGAATATATCTTGAACAGAAAAATCTGACAAACCTGATTAAATTCAATATATTGAAACACAAATTATATTTTAGCCAAAAGTTTTTGTATGATTTTATAATTTGATAAGAAACACGAGATATGACCTTGTGAAAAAAGGTGGAAGGAACCACAAGGGAGGGGAGGAGGAGAAGCAAATTTTAATTGTGTCAGGATAAAATTTACCTGATCCAACTATATGGCTCCCTCTCCACCCTCATTGGCAGTTAAGTTCTTGTCAGTTTTCTACAGCCCTCCCTTTATGTCATCTGATCCCTCCCTCCGTTCCCCCTGAAAACCATGTCGTCCCCCAAAAATACTTTTTCCCCTTCCCCCCTTGCCAGGCTATAAATAATTACCAATCCCTAAAGTTTCTGGTTTAATGGATTTAGCCATATATTGGTTTCTCAAATTATTCTGGAACGTAAAATCGTCGCGTTTTGAGTGTGGAACCGTCAGAGCTGTGTATTAAGAAGCTTCCCTTTTTGTCAACGCTTTTCAGTTTTTATGAACATATTAGCGATTTTACACTTGTTGTTATTCACTTATCTGCTTCCTGCCCCTCAGTTCGCATCAGTTTTTGGGTCTGAAGTGAAATTATTCTATCGCAAAAAGTCTTAACAAAATTTTTTTCGCCAGTTTCACTCTCTTGGGCGCTGGTACTCCCCTACGTTCACTCAACCAATACTAAGGTTTTGATTTGAGAAGAATTTAGTGTGAAAGGTGCTCAGCAGTGAAGGATAATTAACGAGTTAGAAGTCAGGTGCTGTTAACATGACAACGCAAAGTGTCATCTTTAGTGAGAGAGTTCAAAGTATAAAGTTTACAGAAAAACGGTAATTAATCAGAAGGGATCTTCGATTTAACACAGCCTGAGTGAGCTCCCAAATTAAGACAACGAAAAACGAATGTCTGTCTCTGCTGTCTGCCATTAACATCATGACTAATCCTAAAGCTGTAAGGTGTCGGAGTAACTACTGCCTAACAAAATCAAGTTTGTCTAGTAATTCTCTGGAAAGCTTTAAAACTGAGCCAGTGAATAAGTTTTTATTTCTTGGGTCGATGTTTGGTATGGTTGTTTTGTGGATCCATTGGTCCTTTGCAGTGTCAAAACATTCAGCACTCAGTTCAGTTTGTTTCCTCGTTCTCCCACCCAGTACGTACAACTTCCCATTTAGACAAACCATACTACCATTATAACGTGGAACATTTAAGTTCGCAATACATTGCCACTCATTTGTTGACGTAGTGTACATCTCACAAGTTTGTAATATCCCTCTCCTGCTTATTCCTCCAGCAACAAAGATTTTTTCTTGAGAGGCCACTCCGAAAGCTTCGCTTCTTTCTTCTTGCATCTGTGCGATTTCCTCCCACCTGGTCTCCACGGTATCGAATCTCTCAGCTTTGGTAAAGTAATCCCCTGTGTCTGGATTTCTACCACCAAACACATACAGATGGCTGCCGGCTGCAACAACGCAAGCATCCTTTCTACACTGTCGTCCATCAGATGAGATAAGGGTCTCCCATGCATTTTCTTGTTCGTTGTACCTCTTCGTAGAACTCCTTATGCCAACGTTAACAACGTACATTCTTCCTTTAAGAACGGCCACCTTTGCAGAATCTGCGCTCAAGTTTAGCTCGGACCAATCGTTTAAAACAGGATTGTAACTCTCTGCATTTTGATAATTGGCGAAGGTTAACAGATGATCACGAAATTTTATCATCTGAGTTAAACAAGCGTTTTCCTTAAGACCATCTGGTAAACGCTTCCACAAGTCCTCCTCAGGGAGATAACAAAAAGTGTACTTGCCCCCACGAACTACAATAACACGTGTATCGTGACCCTTTCTCGGTGATTGAGGGAGATCATCGTCATCGACAACAGCAGCCATCTTCATATTAGCATCTTCTGTCAGCCCCAAACAAACAACGCTGTCACGAACAAGTTCGTTTGTCGCGACATTCTGCAAACAGTCACGAGACAGAAAAGCCAGTCTAACATGACCGAACAATTGTTCAAATGCTGTTTTTCGCTCGCTCTTTCTGTAGTTAACCCAGTCTAGTATGATTTTAAATACATCAGCTTCTTCTTTAACGATTATCTCGTCCGACGAAATCCACCTCTCGATATCTTTAACTTCCAGGTGCAAAAATTCATCCAGTTTTGCCACGGAAACCATGTTTTCGTGAATAAAACACCTGCTGTTGGTAATAAGCTCTTCGCAATCGTATTTCTCAGCGAAATAAAAGGTTGAAATACAGTTCATGTGGGACATTTCTTGTTCCAAAAACCGCCCTGAAAGCGTTTTCAAGCTCGGTATCATCAGAAAATTCCCTGCGACGACCAGTTCCTCAGCATTCTCCCGAGTTACTTCTACAGTTCCAGTATAGATGAATTCAAAAACATCTTCCATAACAGATCCTGAAATCTCCTTCAATCGAATGATATCGTCGCGATTCTCCTTCATATCGCTCTGAAGAAGCTTGCAAAAGAACGGACTTGCGGCGGTAAGAACATTTCTGTGAGCCTTAAACTCTCTGTTGTCGTTCGTCACCAGGGTAATGTCGCACAAATAGTCTTGTTTACGCTGAATGTTGAGGCGCTTCATCAATTTCATACAAAAGGACCCTTGTTCAGAGGCTGAGATAGGCCCTATATCTTCCATCGTTTACAGAATATCCTTATTTTCTCGAACAGTATCCGCTCAAATGCTGCTGATAATGAGGAACACACGGTAAAGATATCAATAACGGAATATTCGTTCTTTTTTCGAACAGAATCTGCTCAAATGTTGCTGGATCTTTAGGAACACACGATAGATATCGAAAAGATATCGAAAGTGGAAGTATAACTGATTCCCAGTTTTTCATCTCAGTCCCCGAGTCTCCAGTCCCGGGAAATCTGGGGAGGAGTTGATTTAAGCTTTGGTACGGAAATGATGGTCTCGTGACTGTGGGAAAAATTTTGAGAAAAAGAACAAAAAAAGGCTTGATGAGTTTAAAAAAAAAACCATGTCGGCATATTTTCAAAAAAGTATAACGTAAAAAGATACAGGTACAGGTAAACCAAAAATTTTATCCGCTCTGAAGCTAAAAGAGAACAAAAGTTACAGATCGAAATACAGCTGGCCCATTGCAAGACTACGTGAACCGTCTGACCTGACTCGGGTACGAGCATAGCTAAAGTTTCAACTGAGTTTTATTGTGACAGTATGGGTTTCACTACACATCCTTGCTTAACCGTGACCATTCTTTCCCAGAAGAATTAAACCAATTTTTAAACTAATCAATACCCGTCATTCCTGTGTACAATAAGATTTCTTGAGGAAGGCTAAATTTTTCAATACGGCTTGTTCATTTACATGTTGCTTTTTCCTAAGAGTTCTAGTGACTTTTAGATTGCCATTTTAACAGTGCTTAAGCTAAGTATTAAAAGATTCATCGATCATTTTTAAGTGTTGGAAAACTCAGGGGTAGGATTTTCCGATAAAATTTACTTTTTTCTGTTTTTCTAAATTCGGATTCTTGCATTTAAAAATAAAAACAGTGCTTCGTCGTTCTCTTGTTAATTGATTTCTTATAGTTTCCTCATTACTTGACTTCAGTTAACGACATTTTTCTTGGGTCTTTAAAACCTTACAGCCATTTATGTACAAGAGGTCTAACCCAAACTGCGGTTTTGCGCAAACTGTGGGCCTTAGGGACTCGATAGGTCTAAGAAGACTGATTTAATTCAATAGATGTTCTTTCTCTGTTAGCTTTCGGCCCCCTTAACACTCCTGATTCACAAAAATAAATGTTCAGATAAAAGGTTCGGCTAAGAAGACAGCTAAGAACGCGGTTTTGTTAAACAACAACTAAATTTTATTTAAATAGCCGGCCCTAAGAGTAAGTGGGTTCTAATTTCTCCTTACGATATCTTCCTCGAATCAAACGTAAAGGTCAAGAGAATAAAGGAAATGATCACCAATTTAAGAGGCTGCTGACTGTCACACCGTCAAATTCGCCTTGTCAGCTCCATAGGAAATGTAAAGAGAACAGTGTGGAGAAAATGTATACTAGTATTAAGGCGTGAAGGGACAAAGGCAGATTTTCGGTTTGTGGAAATTGCTGCTCTGGCATTTTATTTCGACGACCATTTTGGTCGGTTTTTCTGTTTCCAACATGCACCAACGCCCTTGTGTAAAACAAGGCTGATAGTGTCTTCCAAACAAGCAGTTAATGTTAAAGGTAGTAAGCCACAAAAGGTATCAAAAATCACATGCACAACCCTGAAGTGAACCGAAATACAGATTCGGGCATTCTAACCAATCAGAAGCAGCCAAAATGGTTCTCGTTATTGTGTTTTCCCGCGCTGGTCGATGCGGGTTGCATTTTTCCCGCGCAAAGTATACTAAACTCGTTTGGTCAGGTCCGTAGTGTGTTTAGTCTAACGACGAATCAAGGATTCTTTTCTTTTTATTCACTGACATATGTCTGTTTATTTAGTCCGTCATTCAACTTATTCGTGAAAAATCCGACCAACAGCGTTCCTCAAGGAAGTATCTTAGGCCCACTACTATTTAGCATATACACGAACGATCTTCCATCAATCCCACAGAAATGCAGCACTCAGAGTTATGTAGATGATACGAAACTCATCACTTCCTTCGAACTTAAAGACAACCTGGATGCAATTGCTGATTTGGAAGACGACTTGTTTAAAATAGGAGAATGGTGTTCCAACAACCAATTGTTACTTAACC